GGTTTAACAGCTATACATTAAATACCTTTCTGGCTCACTGGGTAGTATCTGGATTAGGGAGTCAATATTTCATGGGTTTCATCATCTTCCTCGACAAAACCACGAGTTCATGAGGTCCCATGACCTTGTACGTATCTACTTTGTGTCCTTTTCTTAGAGCTTATGAATTTCCCATGAATGTAAGCCCAGTGCTAAACTATTCACTTTGATCACGAACCCAATTGCTTTTTCTTTCTACTTAATATATATTTTCTATCTGCTCCTTCTTTTTTCATTTAATTTACTCCACAACCAAACAGACAAAAGTAAAGCTAGCACGCCAATTGAATTTGAATCTTCGGGAAATCATCTGCATTAGAACATGTGATGCATTGCATTTAGCATCCCGGTAAAGATTAATTTTTATGGCAGAGACGTCATTGGCTAAGAATTATGATATTGAAGGAATTTCTTATAATATTATGGCATGAATTCACATGGAGTTCTGGAATTCATTATCCTACGAATCATGCATTTGAATGCTTTAATCCCACTAAATTATGATATTTTTTAAACGAGTATAAAAATTAATGAATCAATCATCCATCAATATTACATATGTCAGTATAAATTTTAGGGGTGTTTGAAATTTTAGTGTATAATGCTTTTCAAAATAGCTTTTATTTTGAAAATATATTAAAAAAAAATTTTACAGATTTTTTTATATTACTACATCAAGATCATTAAAAAAATACTTAAAAATATATTTAACAATTTTCAAATTAAAAACACTTTTAAAAAATAATTAAAAACATTATCAGAAATTGTGTTAAACATCAAGTTTTGATGAAATTGGTTCTTCAATCTATAATATATTTAGGGGTTTTCCATCCATGTCCCGAGGCTAAAGGCAAAAATTTAATGATGAAATTAAAAAGTTTTAATTACTCACATGATTGTAGATTTATTTATATTTAATAAAATTTATAATTCAATATTAATGGTTATAGAAATTAAAATATTTTATTTGTGTAATTTAATTCATGCCATAAAGTCACTAGTCTAATATTATTTATTCAAAAGACATTGCAACTATTCAACGAATCATGAGATTGCAAATTTTACCTTAGTATTGCACAGATTCCTACGTTAGTTGTTTATCTCGAAAAATGTCGGAGCGCATAAACAAATGTAAAAATCTTACCACTACCTAGAGCGGCAAAGTTGGAGATCTAATGGGTTTCCTCCCTTTAGGTGGTAATTAAATGATAAAGATTTAGAATTAAAGGGTTTGCTCTTTCTATAATTTTAGGTTCGAGTTCTTAGTTACTCATATGATGACTACTTGAGGCTTATATGGTCGTTAACTTCAGGACCCGTGGAATTAATCGTGATACGCACAAACTGCCCAGACACCTATATTAATCTAAAAAAATAAAAGTTGGAAATTTAATCCAATTTCAATGATTTTCTGCTTTTTTTTCAATTGATCGGAAAAGGTTTTTTCTCTCTCCAAATAATAATCTACAGGCTTGTTTAACATTTGATTTTTAATTATTAATCTATCATATGATTGTTTGGTTCATTGCAGGGCCAATAGCTTTGAAGTTTGTTCGGCATTGCCATATTTATAGATAAAGCAGTTTTGTTTATATCGAACTTTGATCATAAGAACAATTATTGACTTACAAAACAGGGAATAGTCCGCTTCCATTCTTAATTTCCACCCACTTTTCTTAGAATCCTGAAGACGATACTTTCCAGTAGAGCTTCAAGTAAAAGATTAATAAAATGCAAAATAATTTGATAAACTCAGATAAGATTCTTCAAGGCGAGTGCATGTATGCATATTGCATAGTAATTAAATATAATTATAGTTGGTCTCGAGTTAATTCAAATTAATTATTTATTTTAAAAAATTAAAATAATATTATTTTTTTAAATTAAAAATTATATTAAAATTAATTTTAATAAATTAATAGAATCATGAATTAACCATTGTGATTACCTGGTCAAACCAAATAATTTATAAGTTTATTTTTTATCACTCAATTCAAATTAAAAACAAGTTAGTTGAGTCTTGAGTTGGCAATCAAGTTTAATAAAGGGCATTGCATGAAAGAAGTATATATGTTGCTGGTGTTCCGAATGTAGTTGTTGAATAATGAAAACCTAAATAAGTTCATTGCACATTATTATTCACCAAAAATGAGTCACTGGGAAGCAATCTCCGGAAAAGATAATAGGAAAGGAAATGTCGATAATCCAAGATCCATTAACGAAAAAGCTTGTGAAGAGAGGAATCTCCAACTCGAATCAACTCCCATAATGTGCCAAACACAGATACCATGTCCACGCTTCATTGATCTTGGTTGAAATTTCTACATATTTCCTTCTATCAAAATGGGGAATGGAAACATTGCAATTTATATAAGAGTACTGCATATATCTACACTTCAATGATTTTGAGAATGATAAGATTGTTGATTGCAACTTGAGAAGGTAAAATGATATACAAATTAATGAATCGGTAGTTTTCTTGCTTTATGAAAAAGCCTAAGTATTTGTTCAAAATATACAAATACAAGGTGATAATCCAATAATATGTCAATGGATTTTGCATCCATGTCCAACATCTTTAGTCTTGATATGAGTCTAACTTGTTTACAAGTTCAATATTTTTGTGTTCAATTATGTGTTGATTCCAAATATACATGGATTTTACAAGATGTCAGACCCATATTCTTGAATTTAGCTATGTGTTGAGCTCAAATAGATAAGGATCTAATGAGCTATTAAACTTAACATTTTTAAATTCAATTACGTGCTTAACCCAAATAAACATGGATCTGGTGAGCTACCAAACCCACCATTCATAAGCTTGGCACCATATTGAGCTCAAATAGGTACAAGCCTATCGAATAGCTAGACCTAAAACTCCTGAGCTTGGTTGCGTGTTGAGCCTAATGAGGCATAGGTCTAGCAAACTGGTAAATCTTTTACTTCTATACTTGGTCACATGTCAAGCCCAATTAGGCATGAGTTTGGTGTGCTGCTTAATCTGATGTCCTTAGGTTAACTATGTACTAAATTTAAGTGAGTATGAGTCTAGTTTACTACCATGCCTTATAACCGTGAGTTTGGTAGTGTACCATACACAAAGGACTAAAAGGTTTGGAGATAATTATAGGTCCTATATTAGGTTATTAAGTTTTGTTTTTTTGTTCTTATGACTTTTAATATAAAATATTAATGTTCGGGATATTCATCCTCTTAAATCCAAAAGTGTATAAAACATGTCTTAAGAGCCTACTATATTTTTATTTCATTAATCTTGTGTAAGGAATTTTTATCCCTCATTAATATTATTATAAAAAAAATAACTCTTTAACCCCTCTATTCCAGTCAAATAATAAGATTTAGGAATTATAAACACCCTCTGAACTACTAGGTAAGGGCTTGGCAATTTTTATTCTCTAGACACTAATATATACTTCTAAATCTTAGGGTATTTATCGAATCAAAATAAAAACAAACACTTTTATTCTTGAAATTTAATGTTCATTCTCTCATGCATTGCGGTCTATTTTTTTGAAAGCTATTAACTTTATTATTTAAGGACTCCTGAACCTCACTGAAATAGACTATTTTGCATTTGTTAGACCCTTCTACTATCAATTATTTATTTTTTAAACTTTAAAGAATGAAATATTGACATGAATATATAATTATTTATTGTTCAAACATCAAAAAACCTAATACCTAAATATATTGGATTTTGAAACATCATAGCATATAATTTTTTTATATCTAATAGGTAAACTAATTAAAAATAAATTACATATACCCTAATAATAAATTATTAGTTTTCATAAGAAAAAAAATTATTGCATGTATTTGTATTAAAAAACTTCAACTTTGTTTGTCTATATAACACTATTGTTTAAGAAATTCTCCAGCACTCTAATAAAAACCAGCGATAGTTAAGTATAATTTTATTGTCATTCTTAAGAGAGGAAAATACAAATAGAAGAAAAAATATATACTTATCAAAAGTGAATTTTTATTTTATTTTTATTCAAGAAACTAGAACTTAATGTACCGACACTAGGACAATGTCTATTTTAATTGAACTGTATAAATATGATTTTCATTTCTATTTATAAACTTTGATTCCATTTTATCAATGTTAAAAAAATATATTATTATATTATTTTATTTTTAATTTTATAAATCATATCAATTTATTTACTTGAATCAATTTAATTTGTGAAGGATCTTGTCCTTTGCAATCAATTAAAGGATTAAAATGGTAAGATTGCAATTTGCAATTATTTATATCCTCCATCCGAAATGGAAAATGGCAAGATCGCAATCCACGTGTCCTCTATCAAAATGAGAAACTATGAAAAAAAGTGAAAGAAATAATAAATAAAAAAACAGACAGCCCACTATTAGGATGTCGTAATATTAAATATGGAGAGATTATAGGCCACGACACAAAAGTTGATGGAGACCTTCCGTGCCCAGGGTCCACGCCATGCATCTCCGCACATACTTGCCCTCTTCTGGTCGAAGTCTCGGCCCTTGTTGTTCAGACTCTCTCACCTTTATTAATTAATTTTTGTTCGCATTTATAAATCTCTGTATCATAGAATGGATCCTTCCCAGACTAATTATTCTCTATAAAAGCCTCCCTCCCCTCCCACCCCCCGAGAGCTCTATCTGCATTACAATTTCTACTTTCCTCTAAGAACTTCAACACGAACCAGACCAAATAAGGTAAGACTGTACCAAAAAAGAGTTAGCTATCTCAGTCACAATCCCTGCTATCCCTCTCTGTATCCCTATTTTCTCTCACTTTCCTTCTCTGCAAGAACCCTTTACTCCGAGCAACGCCAAAGCCCCGTACAAGCTCTCTTCACTCTCTTGCTCTCTCTATATCGATGTCTCTTTCATAGCCTCCGTTTGCCGTTCCTTATCATTTGGCTTCCTGCAGATCAAAACCCCACAAACCAAAAATGTCTAGTTCCTTTGAAATATTTGACAAAGAGAAGGCTGGGAAAGCCGATGCTATGAGAAGGTACAACAGAAAGAGAAACTTGTACTCCTTCTTGGAAACTGTGGGAGCTTTAGTCTTGCTTTGGTGCTCCTTCTCTTGCTTCCCTGTCATAACACATACGGCCTCTCGTTATCTCTCCTTTTTTAACCAGAAAATCTATGCTTTTGTGCTTGCAAACGTTTTCATTCTAATCGTCGTCTACCTTTCATCTACAAAACCCAATAACAATGACCAAAGCGGCACTCCAATCCAAACCGATATCTACGACGAGTACGTTTCCTTCTCCACCTCCTCTCCTCAGTGGAAAACTACCACCGGAGAGGACAAACAGTTTGTTGTTTCATCGCTTCAAGAGGAACCAGTTCAAGCAGAAGAGAAGAGTCCAGTTCGTGAGAAAGATACACTCGACGACGAAAAACAAATTGTTTGCTGCGAGAAAACTAACGATGCTGCCAATGTTGATGAAATGGGAAAAAATCCAGTTCGTGATCTTACAGTGTTCAAAGAGGGGAAGTTTTTCAGGAGGACGCTATCAGGGAAACATGGGAAAGAGAAAAGGGAATATTCACGAGAGTTTCGAAGATCGGAGACGGAGATTGGAAGGGAAACGTTGACTGTAGTCCGTACTGGTGGCCTTAATCATAATACTCCGGGAGCCGCGAGAAAGTCGATGCTGGAGATGAATAATGACGAGTTCAGGCTTACAGTTGAGAGATTTATTGCTACTAAGAAGAAGATTTTGAGAGAGGAAAGTATTGCTTTGTCAAGTGAGGAAAAGGAAGAATATTTAGCTATTAATTATAGATAAGTAATTAATATTTAGCAGTATTAGTGGAAAAATTAATAAAAATAATTAGGTGCCGTAAAATCGAGAGGTGGTTTTTATGATTCATGATGCATAATTCTCCTAGTTCATCCTTGGATTGCCCGAAATAAATATCTTTAAAATTGAAGAATCAATGAATCCTTATTTTTATTGTCTTTTTTTAAGTCTTTATAATATCCAGAATAATACAAACAAGATTTAAATATATGGAATTGTAACTATGAAATGACTTTCTTGTATTTCATAAAAGTTAGGTGCAATAATCTTTACGTAAAGACTACTCTATCTAACTTTCCAGTTACTTAATTTTTCTTTGTTTTTTTTTAATCTTGAATTTTGATATATATATAAAAAGAAATTAGAACGACATAGTGTACTCGGAAACATAAAACTATAACGTCTTCTCATATGCTCAGATTTCACTTCAGAAACCTTAATTTGTATTTTGGACAGCCATTGATTGAAAAACAATTAGGTTGTCAGATTTTGTTTTTAGGAGAACAGGAAATAGACAAAAACATTTAGGCATTTTTTACCCTCAAAAGTTTGGGATCTTCAAGAGTGAAAAACCACCCTTTCTCTAATTAAAGGGCAGATTAGGGTTTAGAACGTATTTAGAGAGATTAAGACCTTAATTTCAATGAATTATCTCATAATTGCATAATTATTGAATTAGTGGGTGATTCATCTATACAGGAGATATAAATTCTTCGTGGTAACGAAGGCAAAGTTATAGCTATCTCCTTCCACTACATTTTCCCTTTGGGAAAGGTCATCGTCATTCCCTATTCTACCTCTTTTTTTCCATTGTTTTCTTTGTTGAATCTACTTTATGTTTCATAATCACTGGGTCCTAGAGGGGTTGAGTCATTATTTTGTTTGCGTTGGTACTGTTAAAAAATACCATTGACGTGGGGTTAGGGAGGTTTTGTTTTCAATTTCTTGTATACAAAGGTTTCTTTATGAAGCAGCTTTGCTCTTATCCACTTGTTGTCGAAATTCTGCAACACGAGGGATGCCAGAGGTCTCTTGCTTTATTATAATCAGCATTTGTGGTCTTTAATGTCTATGTTGGAAGGAATTTGAAAGGGTAACAATAATTGTTTTTTAAAATATTTTTATTTGGAAATAAATTAAAATAATTTTTTTATTTTTAAAATTTTATTTTTAATATTAATACATTAAAAAAATTTAAAAAAATTAAAAAATCAAAATTTAAAAAAAAACTAAGTTTAAATCATATTTTTAAACAAAATTTTAATTCATACACGAGACACCAATATTCTACCATTGAAATGTTCATCACAATTGTTGTAACCCAATTTTGGATTCACTAATTTTTTTTAATGTTATTTTATCTTATTATTCATGACAAAAAAAATATAATAAATAAAAAAAAAGAAAAAAAAAGAACAAAAAAAGAGTTTACAATATATTTTCTCGAGTCAATCATCATTTTCTGTCAAAACCGAGTCCACCAGGTCAATACGGGTCCCACCATGTCGACCGGGATGAAAAATGAGTTTCGGGCTGTTTAGGGTCAAAACCGTCATTTTCGGTCAAAACCAAGTCCACCGGGTCAATACGGGTCCCACCATGTCGACCGGGATGAAAAATGAGTTTCGGGTTGTTTCGGGTCAAAACCGTCATTTTCGGTCAAAACCGAGTCCACCGAGTTAATACGGGTCCCACCATGTCGACCGCGATAAAAAATGAGTTTCGGACTATTTTGGTCAAAACTGGTATTTTTGGTCAAAAAACCCGGTCCACCGAGTTGATACCCGTATAAAAAAGTTTCTTTGTAATTTAAAATTGATTTTTAGCGGGTGAAAAACTATTTATAATACTGATTTGAATTTTTAATTTTTACTCCTATAAATAAATATTATTATTATTATTTAGTATTATTATATATAATAAGACAAATAGTAATCGGGGGAAGTTTGAAAATTTTAACAATCCATGAATTGTTATCTGAATTCTTTAACAATTCGTGAATTGTTGTCTGAATTCATTAGCTATAAATAGCCAATTTCATACTATTTCGGGTTATGTTACTATTCATTTTTCTTATACTTTTTCTGCACCCTATTAAGATATTAAATTTTTTTTTAATAAATTAAAAAATACCAAAAATATCCCAACCGTTAGATTTAATAGTATTTAAATCTGAGTCTTTGATTTCATAGGATACAATAGGCTTTACCACACCAGATTTAAAACACCAATCAATCTCAGCCGCTCCAATAATCTGCCCTTCGGTCTGGTTGCGCCACGTCAGCAGGTGTACCGAGTTCTCGGTACATCGTGATACACCCGATTTCAGCCCATTCACTTCTGACCGTCCGATCACTTGAAGATCAAACGAATCACAGCCGCACGATCTGTTCATCCGAGATCCAGCGGTTGACAGCCTTCAGACGCACGAGCGCACCATACACTCGTCCACACCGTAGCACAACCTAGAGTTTCTCTCTCCTCTCGTCGGCGATTCTCTCTCTCCTTGCCGATCTCCCATTTCCGGCCGTCTCAAGCCGTGAAACCACCACAGAAACGTGCATCGCCTCCTCCTGAGCAAACCCCGACCGTTTT